GCAACAATGATTAGCATAGTGAAGTTACAATTTTACTCTTATAGTACAATTTACAATTCCAAAATAAATTAACTCAAGATAACTAATCAATGTTGGGAAGTTCATAAGTTTATTTACTTTATTTATGACAACTTTATTTAAATAAGAGTATAATAGGAAAAAAATTGTTGTCCTTTCTTGATTTGTCAAAATGAACAACTAAATAGGGACAACTAAAAGAGGAAATATGGACAACTAAATAGGGACAGAGGGAGTATTTAATTACTTCCAAGACTATTGGGCTCCATTGAAGCCAGCATTGACTACCACTTCTTTCAATTTCTTATCCTAAAAAATAAAACAAGAAAAAATACTTATAAAATAAAGGGTTTCCAAAGGGTTAATACCTTTTTGGTGCCTTGGTTATATGTAAATTTTAGTATTAGTCCCTGTAATATCAAATTAAATACTGATATATATTTAGTTAGTATTTAATCATGGATTTTAGGATTATATTTGAAATTTTATTTTTAAATATTTATTTGATCATGAAATTGAAAAGATTTTGAAAATATGATCTTCAAACATTTTTAAAAACTTGGCTCCAACACATTTTTGAATTTTCGGATATCTAATTAAATACATTTAGTTAATATTTGACCATAGATTTTAGGATTATATTTTGAAATTTTATTTTTAAATATTTGTTTGACCATGAAATTGATCAAATTTTGAAATTCTGTTCTTTAAATACTTTTAAAAACTTGGCTCCAACCCGTTTTTGAATTTTTGGATATCCAATTAGATACATTTAATTAGTAGTTGACCATATATTTTAAGATTAGATTTTGAAAATTTATTTTTAAATATTTGTGTGACCATGAAATTGGTCATATTTTAAGAATCTGATCTTCAAATATTTTTAAAAACTTGGCTCCAACCCATTTTTGAATTTTTGAATATCTAATTAAATACATTTAATTAGTAGTTGACCATATATTTTAAGATTAGATTTTTAAAATTTATTTTTAAATATTTGTGTGACCATGAAATTGGTCATATTTTAAGAATTTGATCTTCAAATATTTTTACAAACTTGGCTCCAACCCTTTTTTGAATTTTTGGCACTTTTATTCATAAAATTTTAATTTTTTTCCAAATAAAATGCATGTCCAAATACAATTTTACAAATTCAAAATTTCAAATTTCAACTTTAAAATCTATAACTATATTTGAGGGAAGTATATAATAAAGGATAATAAATCAAATATCAAGATGAAAAAAGATCGTTGAGAAAGCATCTTGCCAAAAATAAAAGAGTTATGACATTTGAAAATTCCGAAACAAAGTTCATATTCATCCTCTAAACTTTTTATCGTTAGCATGACAAATATTGAATAAAAAGACTATGTAAGAGTATTCATATGAGGAAAGCATAAAGAAAGACGTCACACAGTTTTATTTTTTAAAATAATATCTTAAAGTAATATAATATATTTTCTACAAAAAGCCGATTAATAACACATATTTTAATTGATTAAACTTTAATTATATTAACTCATAAATTATAAAAGATCAAAATCATAATTCACTAATAATCGAGAAATCAAAAATATATTTTTCTAAAATAATTGATTTTACTTTTTTTTTTATAAAAAAAATCATAGTTCCACATGGGAACAAGATTGTTTGACTTTCTGATTTTGTTTTTCTTGCTTTTTTGTTGTCTTTTACTCCCAAAGTGACTTTGATGGAATCAAATATAGAAGTAGAATAGAAGCTCTGAAAACAGAATGTAAGCAAAAGTGGTAAAAAGTTAGTGAGACAAAATCATGAAAAAATAAAACAATATAACACCATTCAATATCTTTTTATTGTTATTTACTTTGTAATATTCGATATTTATTAAGGATTTCGACTAATTTAAATTCATATTAAATGGTTTTCCACTTTAAAAATAAAGCATTTTTTATCATGAGATTGAATAGCACTAAATAGTGATCTAGACCAAATTAAATTCAAGAAACAAAGTGGGAAAAAGGACCATTTGGATTCACAATGAAAATTTGATTAATATTTTAAATTGAATAATTTTGACTACAAGAGTTAATTTGATTAATTTTGGAATTAAATTTATTTAGATTAATTTAATATTTAATTTTAAATTGAAATTCAAATGTTTGAAAATTATAAGAAAATTATTATAAATTGCAATCTTTCTCATGTTAATATGATGTAAAAATATATACTCCCTCCATTTCATATTAACTGAATTGTTGAGGTGTTTCACATCTTTTAAGAAAAGAAGATTAAGACATAAATTAGGCATAACTTTCCATTTTTACCCTTATTAATTATTGTGAAATTTATGATTAAAAGAACTAAACATTAATTAATAACTAATTCCAATACTAACTAATGAAGGGTAAAATTGGAAGAACATTTTAAAAATAGTCTTGAAAATTGAACAATTAAGTTAATTTGAAAAATGAAAAATGTCTCAAACATTAATTAATAACTAATTCCAATACTAACTAATGAAGGGTAAAATTGGAAGAACATTTTAAAAATAGTCTTGAAAATTGAACAATTAAGTTAATTTGAAAAATGAAAAATGTTTCAAAAATCAATTAATTTGATATGGAGGGAGTACTATCAATCAAAGTTTATAAATGTAACAAATTAAAGTGAACACGAAAAAGTATGGAAACAGTTTCCTTTATTTATTTCTTAATTATTGCTAATTGTGAGACTTAAATGTACATTGGTTTTGCTGCTATTGTTTACTCCAAAGTCAACCAAAAGAAGCCTTGCATTTGGTGAAAGATCATAAAGAAATCACCTGCCCCTAATCTCCTTTTATTTTTTATTTTTTTCAAAATTTTTATTTTAAAATATTTTATCAATCTCATGAATCATGAAAGAGAAATGGTTGTCATTTATTCATAAAATAAAATAAAAATAAAATCTTACAGATCAAAGCTTAGATCATCAACAATAATGTTTCTGATAAAAGAATTTAATTCCTTAAACAATTTTAATTATTTTCTTTCAACAATTATCAAAAACACATATGAAAGTATCACGTTTTTGCGAGTTTTCTATCTGATAGGATAAAAAAAGGAATAACTAATAGTTGAGATATGTTTCGATAAATAATTGATGATAATATAGGTAAAAAAAGTGAACATATACATATATTATAAAAATGTGCTTTTTAATTTAATTTAATTTTTAATAAAATAATAAATCCCTTTGTATGCATATCATTTACTCTGCTCAACTGGCACTTCCCAAATTTTCCTTTTGGTAAATTTGACCTTGCAGGTTCCTTTTTCTAGTAAATTTCATTAATTACAAATCCCATTTGCTTAAATCTCTTTCTCTCCAACAATTCTTTCACATTTTCTTCACTTAAAACCTCTCAAAGACTCAACCTTTTTCACTCTGTCTTGTCAAAAAAATTGAATCTTGGTGAGTTCAAGAAAACATGAATTGGGTTGTTGTTGAAATTCATGAAAGTTGTAATCTTTTACATGAAAAACACTTGAAAGACTGAATCTTTTGTTCATTTTCTGTTGTCACAAATCAAAAAGTTTGAGAAATTCATGAAAGTTGTAATCTTTTACATGAAAAACACTTGAAAGACTGGTCTGTTTGTTCATTTTCTGTTGTCACAAATCAAAAAGTTTGAGTCTGTTTGTTCATTTTCTGTTGTCACAAATCAAAAAGTTTGAATCTTTCTGAGTTAAAATTCATGAAAGTTTTGTTCTTTCACATTTCATCAATCTTTTGAGTCTGTTTCCATTGATGCTCTTTATTTCCTACTGTCATAAAGTCAAAAAAATTGAATCTTGGTGAGTTTTTCTTGAAGATATCAAATGGGGTCTTGTTAGAATTCATCAAAACCTCATAAAGATTGAAACTTTTGTTCATCCAAAGAAAAATAAATTGAATCTTGGTGAGTTTGTCTTGAAAACATGAATCAGCAATTATCCCTTCTTCAACCACCTCCACCCCCATTTTCTACTCATGATTCTAGTGGTGGTGGTGGTCTTTTCAATTTGAATAACAAGGTTAGTCCAAGTATACTTCTAGTAATCATTATTCTTGCTATTATCTTTTTTATATCTGGTTTGCTTCACTTAGCTGTTAGATGTCTATTAAGGCCATCAAATAGAGATCCAGATGATTTAGATAATGTGACAGCCTTACAAGGTCAATTGCAACAGCTTTTTAACCTTCATGATGCTGGTGTGGATCAATCTTTCATTGACACACTTCCTGTCTTTAATTACAAGTCCATTATTGGTGTCAAAGATCCCTTTGATTGTGCTGTTTGTTTGTGTGAATTTGAGTCTGATGACAAACTTAGATGGTTACCAAAATGTAGTCATGCTTTTCATATGGAGTGTATTGATACTTGGCTTTTGTCACATTCAACTTGCCCTCTGTGTAGAGCTAGTTTATTGCCTGATTTCTCTTCACCATCACATAACAACCATACTTGTTCCCCTGTTGTATTTGTTCTCGAGTCTGATAGTGGAAGTTCAAGAGAAAACAGCAGCACTATTGTTCCTAATAGTCATGAATTGGTTGGGTCATTGAGGAGGAACAATTCAATTTCAAGATTGAGTTTGAGTAGTTCACTTTTTGATGACAACATTAGTGTTTCTGATATTGTTGTTGTCGCGAAATCTTGTGATGAAATCCAACCAAAAGAAGGGGAGATTGTTGAAAAAGTTGTACAAGTCAAGCTCGGGAAATTCAAGAATGTGGATCCACAAGAACAACATCATGTAGGTAGTGGTGATGATCAAGAAGGAAGTAGCAATAATATTGATATAAGAAGGTGTCTTTCAATGGGATCATTTGCTTATGTATTAGATGAGACCACAGCTTTACATGTCCCTATAAGGAACACACCATCAAAAAAGCAAGCAATCAAGAAGCTAAATCATAGACAAGCAATGTCTGAATGTGGTGGATGTGATTCAAGAAGGGAATTCAATGGATTTGAGGGATTCAAATTTGCTGAAAAACCAGTGAATAGCAACAATGAAAACAAGATTCTTGAACAAAGGAAATGCAAAAGAGAGAGCTTTTCAATATCCAAGATTTGGTTAAGGGGGGGAAAAGATGAGAGTACTAATCCAAGAAGGGCATTTTCATTCCGGTTTCCAGCCAACCAGAACATTCCAGTCGTGGCAGAGCCATCTGGCTCTGCCTCTGCCGCGACCAAGAATGGTGGTAGGAGGACAGTCTCAGAGATTGATCTTGGTACATGGGAAAACAATGAAGGATGTGATGAAGAAAATCAATGTTCCAATAGATTGGAATTTCAACCAAAGACACCATCTTTTGCAAGAAGAACACTTTTTTGGCTTATGGGAAGACAAAACAAAGTTGTGCACTCTTCTTATTCATCAAATCTCTAGTTTTTAAAGTTTTCAACTTTATATTTGGAATAGTATCTCAATACACAAAACATTTAGCATATTGTGTATCAAATTGATGGATTTTCAATAGTGAATTAGTATAGTATAGATGAACAATTCTTTTATCAATGTCATGCTTAGTGGATTTTTGGTATACTATACTAAATTTTCAAGTTATTTTCCAATTGATTTTTACAGCTGTTCTTTTGTCATGTGTATTTATGAGGCAGTTTTGGTAGTAATGTTATAAAGGCTATTAAAGATGATATATAAGGTGGTAGTTGTGGTTAATTCTAGCATTCAAGAAGGGCAATGTTAGGTTAAATTTTGAAATTGTAACAACTTTTATGCTGTTCAAATTCAGAGATATACATAAATGTTTGCTGATTTGATTTTAAGAGTACTTCAAGAATCAAGAAACATAAATATTAGTGTGTTTGGATGTGCATTTTATTCAAAATAATAATAATTGAATTTTGTGAGTGGAAATGAATTTTCCCCCCAAAAACTGGTCTTGACTAGATTTTGAAACATGATTTTTTTAAGGACTGATTTTCATAATATGATTCAGAATCTATGGTCAAACAAATATTTAAAGTTGTATTTTCAAAATATAATTCAAAATTTATGGTCAAATGGCATTTGATTGTATTGCCAAATTTTTGTGCAAGTTCTCTCCAGTAATTAATTTTCATTGTTGGAAACTTGATGATTTTAATATTCTACCAAATAGATGCCGATGCCCCGAACTGCTATAGGAGTCTAATTATTATTTCCTTTCCGCATAGTTAGATAGATAAAACTTTTCTTCTTTCAGTGAAGCTTAAGATGTCTTGTCTTTATGTGCATTTCTTTTATTTAAGACAGCTTGCCAGCCAGGGGAAGGATCTCAAGTCCGAGTGGAAGGCTATCCCACAATCCTTCATAAAAATCCTCTTTAAAGCCTATATCATGTCTTTTAAGGCACAATAACCGTTTGCAATCCTCATTAGGGCAGATTCATGATTTTTTAATTTTCGAATTTTGGATTATATTGTTTATTAGATTTCGGATTGTTTATACATATTAGATGAAAAAATTAATATAAATATAGGGTTTGACTCAAAACAACTAAATTTTCCCAAACACATAACTATAATAGATTCTCATTTCATGAGTTACCTTTCGAAGTTAGATTCAAAATTCATTTTCTTAACATGATATCGAGCTAAAAAGTTGATCTCCAAATATTTGGAGCTTCATGTTATTTTGTCCATGCACCATATGCTAATCCCAAGTGCATGAGAGGTATTAAATGTGTCACGTAGATTAAAAAAATAATTTATTATTTTCTTTATATGATCTTAGAGAATTCTCACTTCATAAATTAAATTTTGATTGAATATTAAATTAGAATTATAGGGTAAGTGACATCAACACATATTGCAAGAAATAAATCCTAAAATCAGATGTAACTAACCAAGTATAAGAGAAATACTTAATTCTATTCAATATTTATTGTCTTGATATAATTATCAAATTCATAAATCTTGGTCTTATAGAATTAGACAGAAAGAGCCCTAGAAATACTAAATTAGTTACAAAGTGTGTATAGAACATGCCCTTTCATGGGTAAGTGTGTGTAGAACATGTACTATCGTTTATTTATCCATTATAATAGTAAAGTCATAAAATTATTTTTATCAAATTGAAATAATTGACTTTATTATCTATTATATATATTACTATATAAGAAGAGTGAATAAAATTCACTCTTCTTTCGACACGTTGGCACCATGGCCCACCTACTTTTATTTTATTTAAATCATATATCATATATATTACTATATATAATAATATATCTTTCGACACGTGGCACCATGGGCCACCTACTTTTATTTTATTTAAATCATATATATTACTATGGTTGAATTCAATTTATTTCACTTGAATTCAATCATATATATTACTATGTTTCCCTCCAATTTATTTCACTTGAATTCAAATAAGTGGTTGTAATTTTGAAGTGAAAAGTTGTCATAAGGGTAAAATTGTAACTTCACTGTGCTAATCATTGTTGCCTTAATCTGTGTGCCATTTCGAAAGTGGACAACTAAAAAGGGACGGAGGGAGTACTATATAAGAAGAGTGAATAAAATTCACTCTTCTTTCGACACGTGGCACCATGGCCCACCTACTTTTATTTTATTTAAATCATATAT